TGAAGATAGTCACTAGCCAAATGACCTCATAAATTTAGGATTGATAAAGTTTTAATTCATTTTTATGCAGATAGCAAAAAGACTCCAATACAGATTTAAGATCTTGTTTATAACCCACAAACACTACTCTGTATTGGATTAATATAACAAACAGTTCCTACGAATTACATAAAGTTATTTTTAATTCGGATAAAAATGCAGAATTGACCATTTCCATACTACTAATGTCATTCTTCTCCTCAGTCATCCTCTTTTGTTCACACTATCCCTCATCGTAAACCCCTATTTTATCACAAAATAATCTCAATAGCTCTATTGACTCCTAAAAGACTGCCTCCTCTACTCCTTTGCTTTTTTGAATCCTGAAAACAGCCTCTAACCCACCCCCATTTGACACAGCATCCTAATTTAGTCTGGCTGATCATCTCTGATCATTTAGTCTTGCCCACTCCTTATCTACTGTACGCACCATCTTTTTGTGCTGTCCAATACATCACGCTCAGATTTCTTTGATGCTTTCAAGGTCCTCTATCCCTCCATTTCTCTTTTCCTTGTCAAGTTTCACCACCTCCACACTGGATTTCCATACCTCTTACATTAATTTTTTCTATTGTACGATATCTCTTCCGTTTTGTTCTTAGAGTTAAGACAGCTAGAGACAACACAAAGTTCTACCCTCTTAAGTTTGTTTTCTCTTCTGCTGCTCTTTCTTACTCCTACAGCTTCATATTTGTATATAGTTTCTTTTTATTAAAGGCCAATAACTAAACACCAAACACATTTCAGGAGGACTCTTTTTGGTTTAATTCCACTGTTTAGGGATCAGTATCTGCTATGCTGTCAACCGCATCCCTGCTCAGTTCCCAGCTGTCAGAAAAGTAGTATCTAAACTGTCAAGAAATCTACTGTTGCAATAAATAAAAACACAAACCCGAACAGGACTGCATTTCTGGAAGTCATTTGAGAGTGTTCTGGAGGCAATCTACAACTCATGCTCAAAAACATTTTGGAGATGTGGTAGGCATGTTATCTTTTACCTATCATGAATTACCTGTTTCAGGATGTCTGCTAAACATCCTGTGTTTACTCTGCAGGCAATTTATGAACTGGAACAAGAGCTACTAACCAGACACTTGGGACCAGATAAAATTTCAGCAAAAAAAAAAAATCTTCGACTCAGTTACGGTCAGTTTAAAGTCTATTTTCTGTTTTTAAACAGAATTGATGCCACTTACAGTGACCCTTAACCTTCTAACGTTATTCTGATTCATGACGAAACTCAAAGGGAATTATCTATTTTTTCCTGAAATGTTATATTATATTTTAAAAAAAAAAAAAAACTAAAATATTACAGCCAAAGGAAGGTCATCATTTCATGTATGTTCTAAGCAAGCACTGTCACTGGAAGAAGCCAACCTATTCTTCCCCTTCTCCTTTGTTATTTGTTTCTAGGATTATTTGCTTCTAGGACAAGCATCCTGGCTTGTATCAGGAATAGCGTGGCCAACAGGACTAGAAAAGTGATCATCCCCCTGTACTCCACACTGGTGAGGCCACACCTCGAGTACTGTGTCCAGAGCATGTCCAGAGGAGGGCAACAAAGGTGGAGAAGGGTTTGGAGGGTAAGTCTTATGGGGAGTGGCCAAGGGAGTTGGGGTGGTTTGGCCTGGAAAAGAGGAGGCTGAGGGGAGACCCGATAGCTCTCTACAGCTACCTGAAAGGAAGTTGTAGCGAGCTGGGGGTTGGTCTCTTCTCCCAGGCAACTAGTGACAGGACAAGAGGGCATGGTCTGAAACTGCGCCAGGGGAAGTTCTGGCTAGAAATGAGGAGGCTTTTCTTCACAGAAGGGGTCGTTAGGCATTGGAATGGGCTGCCCAGGGAGGCGGTGGAGTCCCCATCCCTGGAGGTGTTTAAGAAAAGACTGGACGTGGCACTTAGTGCCATGGTCCAGTTGACACGGTGGTGTTAGGGCAAAGGTTGGACTCGATGATCCCAGAGGTCTCTTCCAACCAAATTGATTCTCTGATTCTGTGACTACATTCTCCTTGCAAATGCTTCTGCTAGAAAGCAATTTTCTCCAATCCTTAGGTTCACACATGCAGCCAGTCACCTCATCCTGCCATAGAATGATGCTACAATAAAAGTGCTCTGTGCAACTTTGTCTTTTTTGAATAACGCAGTGTACAAACCGTTATTTCTGTACACATTCTCACTTACTCTTAATGCTCTGAAAAGGAGAAAGATCAGTTCAACCAATTGTGCTCTGCAACTTGTTACAAGGTTCTACTCAAAATTAAATATTTAACAGTGAACTTTTCTGCTTATTGATTAAAAGGGATACTTAAATCCACTTTATTTGAAACATTTCCAGGAAGTGTAAGAATTTCCTCATTATATATTTTAATCTTTTAAAATTATATTCTGAATTTAATAGAAAACTTCTTATCAAAGAGTGTACTTTACATTCTAGGTTTTGACAAGAAATCATTAATATTAATTCTATTTTTTAAATTACTATCTCCAAAGAAAGGAACCTTAGATATTTCTAGCAACCCAGTCATCTATTACAATATTAATAATTAAAAAAAAAAGTGAGGTTGATCTGAAAGATCTCTAAGTAGCTATTGCACAATCTTTGCAAAGATCTTGATTTTTTTAATATAGCTGTTCGGATGAAAAATAAAGCTAAAATGAGAAAAGAATATCAAAAGTTAAGAACATTATTTAGGGAATACACAATCTCAGTTTTCTATATGCAGTTGCTGCACATTTGAAAGGGACTATGCCTAACACCAGTATAGTAATTATTTTAAATCACTGGGGAGGGGCAGGAATCAGGTTTGCCCTTTCATGAAAACAAAAAGAACAAGAATATTGAAAAAAATGCCTTCTTTCTTATGAACATCTTTATTCATATAGTCATGACATAAGACATCCCACTGAGCGGTGTGTATGCACACACATACACAGGGTACACAAAGATCAGGTAAAGTGCAAATGAGGCATGCATTCTTATACAAATCAAACTGCAATGTATAGTGTGAAGTAAATTAATGATCTGTGGGCATGTAGGATACATATGAGGATATAGCAAAAAAAAAAAGTAAAGAGAACAGGTAATAATCCTCAATATTTGTAATGGGAGCACCAGCCTATGAAATAGTAAAGTCCTTACAATGCACACCCGCCCTAGTCAGGTTGCAAGCAGACAAAACCTATATGGCCAGGTAGCTACCATCCTTAACATTAAAGAAAAGAAAAAGCCTTCTTCCAAGGCTAAGACAAGACATTGTAAACTCAAGGGGTTTTTTTTTTCCATCATCATAATTAGTACCCTGAAAAGAAAAAGAAAGAAAAAGAATGAAGAGATTTATTTAGAACAACTGCAAGTGACTCATTTAACCTGCATATCCGCTAGGATAGATAACTTCTAGGCAGATACCTCTAAATGCAGTTTCCATGAGAACAGAGTCACATCATGATATTTTTAATGCCTTCTCTTAGGAAGTAATCTGCATTTAAAATATGGAAACTAGCATTAGGAAGCTAAACCAAAGTTAAACTTTGGTTCATACCCCAGTGGAATACTTTCACTCTATAATAAAATAAAGCCATTCTATAAGAGTACCGAGAGGACAATATCCACATTATTACTAATTGAGCTACATTCATCAAGTTCTGGAACAGTGCTTTACTCTTCCCAGTAAGCAGCAATATTAAAAAAAAAAGTATTCATGTAATTACTTGAACCCGATCCTATCAAAAAAGCTCCAGAAAACCTGAAATAATTCTTGCTATGAACAGGAAAGCAATCCCAAATACCAATATAAAAGCTCCTTTTGAGAAAACAGTATTTTTACTATTCCGAAGTGGTACCTGATACAAAGGAGGGAATAACAGTGAAAGTGACTGCCCATCCCGCTCCCTCAGTAGAAGGTTTTCTATTCACCAAAGAGCACCTGGCTGTAGGTTTTGTAAGCCTGGGATATGTGGGGGGTTTTTGTTTGTAACTGGAAGAGAGTAACCATGTAACCACACCTGTCTGCTCTTGACTAGGTTAATCACAGGGTTCTGATTCCTATTGCATAAACTAATATCCAACTACTTACCTATAAGTAAGACTCAAGAAGGAATTTTTCTGCTGTAGTAAGCGAGACTTTTCATACTATTGACAGAACTGTGCCAGAAATCTGAAGAGTAACTTTGTAAAACTCTCATGAGTGCTGGTAGGTCAGATACCCAAATCAAAAACAGCACACAGAAAGCTTATTCTGAATGCTATGGGCTAACCCTCAGACTACAAAGAGGCAAGAGCAGGCCAAGGGCCTTTGAAAAAAACAAAAACAAACAAACAAAACCCAAACAAAAAACCCACCAGTGGGAAAGACATTTGAGGTACCGTTAGCTTTGGAAGGGATAGGCAAATACACTGGGTCCATGAACAGCAGCAATCCCCAACGTGATCCCCAACTGAACCAAGAGGTATTTTGATAAGCCCTAGTTGTAAATGAGGGAAAACAAATCACATGCTAAGCAGACAGTTTGGGGGTGAAGGAATTCCCTGTATGAGTAAGTCTGGGATTTTGGGTTGTTTTTTTTTCCTTTACAAACAGGCATTTAAAGCCTGCCATTTCAAAGCCCATTTCATGCTGTCCTTTAGCAGCACATTCAAGGCAAATGGCTTCTGATAAGAAGAAAATCCCTCCAGAAGAGGTTTCACTACCTTGTTAGCAGAGCACCAGTGCATCAGTAACACATTTTGAAGCACACAGAAAAAGAGACATGCATTGTCTGCTGCTGCTACTGGAAGAACTCTAAACAATGGGCTGGTAAAAATGCCATTACTAAAGAACGGTTGCTAGCAGAAAATTATGTGTGATCTTTTTGTTCAAAACAGTTGTATTTCTAACAGACACAAATAGGAAGAATTAAATGATAAATTAACAGTAGAAATATAAAGGTATTATCTATGGGATCTCTAAGTGCCTGTTTATTCTTACCTTCTTCTGCCTCATCCTCCTGGGAAGACACAGGCCCTCCACTTGTTGGGCTGACCAATTCTTCCTCTCTTGCAGACTCTCTTTGTAGACTGACAACTTCATAAATTGCATCCCCAGCACTTAAGTGGCTTTTTCCTTCAGACTAAACCAAAATATGTGTATGTATTAGGTCCCTACTGTTGAAAAATACAGTTCTAATAGCATGCCAAACCCAAATCCATACAAACAAATCTCCTATCAAGGCTAAACAATAGTTTGGGGAAGACTCCCTCAGATTTCTTTGCAATGGCACAGGTAGACTGGTAGTAATTGACAGCTCTGTTTCTCCTTAAGTTTTATAGGTAGAAAATATAAATAAACTTGCATTATTTCCAAAGCTGCCTCTTAACAACCATTTTAAGTATTGTTCAGATCGATGCTAAAAAAAAGCTTTCCGATTTAAATAGCTATAATGAGATGAGGTCAAAGACAAACTGCAGCAAAAGAAAAGAGGAGAAAACAGGAAAATATTGGAGTAACTGACATTACAGAAACAGGAATCAAAGGCCTGGGGGGGGGTGGGGAACTAATGGTAAGTTTTTGGTAGGTTAAGACAAGACTAAAGAAGAAATAAATCCTCCTGTTTTTTGAAAGCTGTAAATTGTGAAAAGCTCCTTGTAGTGTTTTACATATTAAAAAGCCAGAAAAAATTCATCTTTCTTCCAGAGTATAATTTGTAATATACTCCTTCCAATGGAGAAATGTATCGGCTGTACCTAGCTATAAAATCTATAATTTGCAATATATTCCTTCCAATGGAGAAATGTATTGGCTGTACCTAGCTATAAAATTTGTGTTTGTAGCCTAAGTTTTATTTATTTATTACTTTTATGTATGTGCGTGCCTGTATGTGTCTGTGTGGGCACACATGTACAAATCATGAATATCTGTCAATCTAACAGTTAAATTAACTTCGAAATCTGAGTGTGGTATCTGTAGCTAGATATATTTGAGGCCAAAATATCTTCAGTGGAAATCATTTTCTTCTGTAAAAGCAGTTTTTCTTCCAAAACTGTCTCCTTAGGAATTTGCTAATTTTCCAGGCAAAGTGACTCAAAGATCGGGGGGGGAGGGGGGAGCTGTTTGTTTTCTTTTTATTTCAGGCTGGGAAAGTTCAGAGTTTGATCGAAGTCTTCCATGTTCAATTGACTTTTACATGAGAAAAGTTAGTTACCTATACTCTAAGCACCAGGTACAAGGTTGTAAATTTTAAAATAAACTATTTGTTTTTCCTCTGAGTTATAGTTCTGAACACAATTATTATTCAGTAAAATGCAGTGATTAATATATTTGTAGAGAATTGTATAAAACTGCAAACTAATGATTGTATTAAATGAACCAGCCCAAAATGTTGCACTATTTCGTTCTTTGTGCATCTTGCCTAATCAGTTAAAATAAGGTAATTTTTTGAACATATTAAAAATACCAAATTAACCATGAAAAAGAACACAATTTCAGTTAGGGAATATTCAATTTGTTTAAAAAACAAAATTGTGATAAAGTTGGAAGTCTCCATGACACCTTTGCTGGAGATACATGCAAACTGCTGACTGGCACCTGCAATTTCAACAAGCTGGTGAAATTATGCAAGTGGATAGCTTAAACAGGGACTGCTTGGACTGACACGATATAAATGACTTTATACTGAGAACACTTTCTTACCGTATTCTAGATTAATCATTCAGATCTGCTTCCTTTAAAGCTGATACTCCCTGGAAGCAGTGGCTCCAATTATCAGCCAGTACTGCTGACTGAACTTCTCATGAAGCCAGCTTAATGAACTTTGGGGTGTAGGCAGAAATACCCTGCATTTTGTAACATTTTTGTAACGATATTAGAAAGATTATCCCTGTTTTATTCTCACAGAACATCATTATCAGGTAACTACAAAGTACTTGGTTAAATCAATCAAGGATTGGTGCCACTAATATTACTAACCATCACCATCTATAGCTTTTATTTTTGAGGGAGAAAGGCATGAGGTACTATGGATTTTATTGTGTGTTACAAGAATGACAAGTCTTCAGCTCCATGCACGTGTTCTGGTTAACTGCAAGACCTATCTCTATAAAATGCAAATAGCTCCTCAGAATTTTACAGCAGGAAGAAATGCATGTGTTTCTTCAGGGAGGGTAGGCACGTGCAGGTTTGTCACATTACAAGGGGTGACAAAGACAAAAAGAAAGTATCCATATTACTCAATTAAAAATGGTACAGTTGTTAAGTGATTTAAAAGGAAAGCTTAACTGATTATAGAGAAGTATCAAACAGCTGAGAATGTAACATTTTCAAATGTATTTTCTTTCAGTTTAAAACGTACGTAACAGTTGCTTTTCTCAGATTTTTCTTAAAATTCTAAGCTGCCATGCTGACCTCTAGAAGAAATACAGAAACAGCATTGCAGGAGATTTATTTACTGACTAAGTGTTAAAACACAGCAGCATTTTTGCCATGTAATACCAACAGAGCTTGTTTTTTCAGACCTATTACTGTACGCCACAGGAAGATGACAACTCAAATATTCACATTAGGCTCAGTAAAATTAAATCACTGTTCTTTGGTTTCATTAGTCAAAGACGATGGACCACTATTCCAATGCAAACGGTACAGTTAGCCTCTGCTGTTCACTTTCTGAACCACCACCACCACAACCTAAGTCTTTGGAAAAAGCAGGTCAACAGTCACTGCAGGAAGATGCAGTTGCACATCACCCTACAACGATAGTGGGCACACATACATACTTTATGTGCCTCACCAAATGCCAAAACCAGAAGAGATTTTAGCATTCTACTCAGTAGATAACTAATCAACAAACATTACTAGATGAGATGGATGTATCATCTCTCAGTGCTTGAGGAAGAAATAAATGCACATTAATCACATAAGCACAGGACTGGGAAAGCTAACACGGAGGGAATACACAACCATGCATTAAGCTTCATCTTAACCACTTCCCCCTCGCTCTGTAGGATCAAGCAGCATTTGTACAACTTGACTTGAAAGCCAAACTCCAAGGGACTGACAAACAGAAATACTTCAGAAAAAAGAGTCTGCTAAAAACAGTTATTTCTTTACTGCTATTTGAACATTTCATAAGATTACAATCACCAGCGAGAAATCAGACAAACAATCCTAATTTAATAAATCACTGCAAGAATAATGCCCTTAGCCTCACATTTCATAAGCCCTGAGGCAGCAAAGAACAAGAACGTAGTTCATTTTACACCCTCACCAGCAACCACGAGGGTAAAAACATGTCAACTCCATCCCGCAGAACTAACTTTTCCAGATAATCTTCTTCTAAACTTCTCTTTTTGAAAACAGGGAGAAATCTACCTTCTCGGATACTTTGAGAAAGTAATAGTAATGATCTAACCCTTTTAAACCTCTGCATTAGGTTCCTTTGCCTTTAAAGGATTATATTCTTATAGCCATCTACCTTCACATTTTGAACTTCAACAGCCAGGATTTCCCTTTGTTACCTATTAGTTGATTTTACAGTGAACAATTAAAGAGTCATTTCCCAATTTTACCAGTCAAATGGACTTGCTTTAGATATCTGCATACAGGTCAGATTGTATGAAATCATAGAGAATTCACTAGGTAGGTTTAAAATTGTTTAAGCCCACAAAGCCAATGACTCATTATGATTCAGTTTACAAAGGCACTGAATGTTTATATATGCTACTTAACCATTATGCATTTAAGCATCTCAGAAATACATAGTTAAAAGAAACTACTGAGGTGCAGGTGCCATGCTAACTTTTGTAAAGGCCAAATTAAGACAGACAAAACAAATGCTCCCAGCATCAACTTTTCTTTAAAAAAAAAAAAATATGCATTACCTGTTTTAGTTTCATATAAAAAGTTTCGGTGAAGGCTTTTCTGCTGAAGTACCAGAAGCGTTCATTGGCAGGATACACACGCACAACAGTCTCCAGCAAAAACCGGACTGGCTCTACTATTTCAGTAACAACCATATCCACTGCCACAGTCATGAACACACGCTTATCTAAAACACAACAATAAGTCACATACAGAAACATTAGTCAAAGTTCAAATTTCTCAGAACCATAAATGTCAGAAGTCGACTGTTGTTCAAATTTAAAACCTTTCTATGTAATTTCTGATTCTACTGCACCCATTTTATCCAAGTTCTGCATTCTACGTGCCTGCCTCATAGAATGAGAGTATGCGTTAAACAGTGTACCAAGTAACTCTGATACCTTTTTAAATCAAAGACAGTACGTCTTTCTTTTAAAGACAGGAGCAAAACATCATGCAAAGAAAACAGCATTAAGATACATGATCCTCATCAGACAAAAGGAATGTGCACAGGATAAGGTCACATTTTAAAGTGTAAACTTACCACTGAGGGAATATATATATGATTAGCAAATCAGTGTCAAGCATCTCCTACAGCATTGTTTGTCCTAAATCCTCTCATAACACTAAGAAACACTTCAGATCATTTTTTTATGTACGTGCTTATACTCTGTCAGTTAGAAGGACTCAGACCATTTTACCCCTTCCTGCCCCACTCTCTGGGTCAGACAGTCCTCAGAGCAGCAAAACATATTTTTAAAGTAAAGCAAAGATCAGTAATCTTAATCTGTAATAGCTCCATTTTCCTGATACTGAACCATAACTCCAACTTTTTCAAGTAGAAGAGAATGCAGGATCAACTGACCAGAGGATGAGACTGAAACAGTCCAAGTCTACTTTGCAGGTTTACAATGCAAGAGAAGGTTTGGCCTTTCTGCAAACATTCATCACAGAGAGAGGTAGTAACCATCATGTTGCATCACAACTGATAATTTTTCTTGCAGGAAGCACAAATTTTTAAAATAACATTCAGAATCAGACATTATGCATCCCTAGGTTCCCTTGTCTTATCTGACCAAAGAGGCAAGTGGGCATTTAAATAAAAACAAAACCCACCAAAAAACCCCATACCACAAAACCAGACCACACCACACACACAAAGTCATATCGTAAAACAGAAATTGTGTCAAGCTGCACAGCAAGAGTTTTGCCTACATGCTACCAGAAAGAATGTCGTTTGAAAATCCACCAGCAAGAACAGGGCCACTGACAGTATATACTTGGCTATGCCTTTAAGCAACCAATGGGAGCTCTTCCTTGGGATAGGAAACAAACTCCAGATTTGCATTCAAACCTTTTACATCACACCAGAGAACATAAGTTCTAGCAATAAGAAACTGTGCTATATAATCAAGCACTTCAGTGCATCACTTCCAGCTGCCCCAAGATGAAGGGGATGTAATGCTATTTGTAATCAACTCACCTCAAAGCTAAAAGCAAGAACATAGCAATGCCTACTCTTTATACTGCTCTGCTGAGTACAGCAGGTGGAAAACAAGTTCTGCATGCTTAGGATCAAAAAGTTCTGATAAGCAGGGAACAGGCACATAAGCCCCAAACACTAATTTAACCTCTTCAAATCAGCAACACACAGTTCTATGAATTGTTCACATTTCTGTGTTGCATATGTTGATATAGAAAAGTTCCTAGTCACAGACTCTTGGAACATAATGCTATATGTACTCAGACATACGCACCGTGATTCCCAGGAGAAAATACATACACCAAACCCGTGTCAGGTAAAACAAATTTACAAATTAATTTACCTTTAGGAGTTTCCTCATTAAGTACTAGAAACATGGGTGCATTAGGATTCCACATTCCAGTAATTACATAAGCTTTCCCATCAGAACTCTTGCCCATAGATTCCTAAAAATAAAAACACACAGAATTCTGTTAGTCATGGTTTGAGAGCAAAGAGACTGAACATGGGGAGGAGAAATAGTTCTAGGAACTTCAGAGTGAGATTGTGTTCGCTCTAGAGAACACAATCTAAATAAAGATCATGAAATAATTGATTGAGAAAGGTTATAGGGAAATGGGAGAGAAAGAAGAAACATTAGAAGAGAAGAAGAGAAACATTCTTTATCAACATATTTTTTAATGCTTATTATAAGCATGAAAGCACGGTGGGATGTCTGCCACTCTAGTTTCTGAGCAGCTGAGATGGTTGCTAGGAGAGGATGAGTTACAAGAGACTTCATAAAATTAAACTAGCCCCACAGTATACACAGAAATGATCCAGGAAAAAACCAAACCAAACAAACAAAAACCAAACCCAAACATATCTGGAAGAGGAGAGAATGTCAGAAGACAAGCAAGACTGCATTATCAGAGGTGAATAAGGAGATCCTGAGCTCGGGGGGAAAACCATGAGGTTAGGAAATGGGTGTACTAAGTCTGATAGCTAATTATGACAAGAAGAGAGAATTCTTGTTTGATGGCATATTTCTGGCTGGGATGAGAATGATGCCTGGCAGGTGAGGTGACCCGTTCACATTGTGTTTAATAGTTTTGGCATAGCTCAAAAAAAAAAAAAAAAGTCCTCTTCTCTAGGCTTTTAGTAATCTGTTAAGCTCTGGGCCACCCAGTTTCACCACCCAAAAAGTTCCCTGTAGACAGCAGCAGGGGAGAACTGGAGAGATTATTCTTAAGACAGCAACAACACAAATTTTTTTCCGGATAGCTCAGTAGTTCTCAAACTAGTTTTTCTTTTATTCTCAATGGGAGGACACAGTAATAATGGTTTGGCTCTATGGCTCCCAGGAACTATAGCCCCTATCTGCTGCTCCTGCTTGTGCAGTCCATCTCCGCCCCTGATCGAAGTGACTTCTACAACAGATTCTTCTTAGTAAGACGTTAACAACTCCAACACAAAGGTCAGTCTGATTTTTCCCAATCTACAATCATACCTCTGCCAGATTGTCCCGAGTTGCTTAGTCATGGACGTACATTTGTAAGTATGCCAACGGACTGGAATTCCAGTTCATAGGAACATGAGATTTAAAGAGCTAAATTTCAGGACAATATGCAAATAAAGTCAAAACAGCCACATATGATAAGGTGAGTATTAACAGCAATGCCTCTACATCTGGTTAAAATAATGTTATGCTACACATGGGTTATTTCTACAAGTGTTTCTTATAGACCTGCTAGGAATAATGAGAGTAATGACCTCCACATACGAGCTTTTACTAGTATGAGGCAAGTACGGGCTTCCTGAAGTTTTCTGGGACAGTTCCTATGGATCCAACAGGTCTGTGTGGCAGCCTCTTTATGGACAAGACTGACATTTCTACTCTGCAATCCAATTTGTGGTAGAGCAATAAGAATGACTGAGGTCTCCAGATTTAAATAGGGAGAAAGGGGGTTGAAAGGAAAACACAAATTTATATGTATATGCTACAGCCAAGAAATGAACTAATAAGCCATCACATCCAGTGGTTAAATGTACTTGGAATGTACATGTAAATAGAATCATAGGTGGAGTAAAGACAGAAATTCAAATATATAGTCCATACAGTAAAAAGGTGTTATATAGATTTATAGAAGCCAATTCATTACGCTCCATAACTCACTATAATTTATTCAATTTTCTCATAAAATAACAAAAAAATGGAAAATCGGAAACAAGAAAAAATGAGCTAGTAGGTACAAACAGGTAAATAAGAGAGTCTGACAAAAGAACTAAATACTGATAGTTAGAACCATCAATGTGAGTAAAGAAATGGACTAGGCAAAACTGGGAAAACTGTATAGCCAGAAACTAACTGATTGGTTTAACTCAAGCACTTCTTGAATTAAAAATGGTTGTATTCCTATCCACAGCGTGAAAGTAAATTGATATTATCACAGAAAGTATCATGTTATTTTGCAGTTCACTTAGAAGCAACTCATAAGAAATTAAGATTATAGAAGACAAGTGAATACTTCAAACTCTGAGCAAGAATTTAAATTCAAATGAAGCAAATAAAGGCAAAGTTTTCAGCGCCTTGGAAAAATAAGACCACTTCTCCGATGCCCAAATATAAAACCCATTATTTGCTCTCAATATTTTAGGCAATATGCTTAACATGACACAGAAAGCTTAGTTATTTGGAACTACCAGCTGTCAGCTGACCTAATCAATGCTTCAGCAACTGAACAAAAAACAGATGCCACAGGCTTTGGCATTAATGAAATGTTTTGTCCATTGTATGTAATAAGTTTGTTTCTAGTTTGAAGATAGAAATCCCAGGATTCAAGAAACAAAAAACAAACAAAACCAAAGAGATGAGAGGTTTTGTTGGGTTTTGTTAATTTTTTTTAAATCACCTCTATCTTACTAAACAGGTTATTAGCGCTAAGTATTACCATGTCTAGTAAATGCATGTCACTGTTCTTCACATTTCGTCCGGGGCTTAGTAGCATCCCAAAGCACCTGTGAAGTTTATTTAAAAAACAAAACAAAACAAACAAAACACAGAAAAAAAAGACAGATATTAGCTTTTCAAAATACAAAAGTATTTTCTTGAACATAATGGCACAGCCACCTACTGCTTCTAATTTAAAGAAAACCTTTCTTAGCAATTTTTTGTTAGTGTTATGGCAACACTCAGGAAAACATCACAATATATATTATAGAAACGACAATGAAATTATTTTCCAGAATGAAAATGACAGAAATTAGTGTCTGACCTGTGAATAATCAATTATTTTTAAAGACAACTTAGAATATTGAGTTTAAAGATACCAAAAATTCCTATATATTAGTTATGGAGATTGGCAAGAAGAAATTTACTTGCTCCCCAGTCCATTTTAAAAATTGTTTCAATACAATCATATGAAAAGTTACAAATTCACCCATTCTATCACCCATAATGTCACTGGTGTAAATCATCATGTAGCATCATGGGCCCTTGGAAAAAAACAACAAAAAAATATCAAAAAACACACCATACTATTTTTTATATATCAATTTTTACACTTTCATTCTTTCTTTTTTAAAACTGAACTTCTGTATTATACAAGGCCTTCAATTCCAGAATTCCCATCTAATCATTTAACAAGAAAATGTTCTTGATATTTTTTAAGAGTAAAAAAATAAAGAACATTCTTAGAACATCCAGACTTTCAAACTTTCTGAATACTGAAGGCACAAATCCAGGTCTGAAGTTTCTGCAAATTATCTTTATCTTTCTCTCCTTTGAACACACTCCACTATAAATTAAAAAATACCAAACAGAATTATATATTTGTAACATAAGCTGCAAACCATTTTGCATAGACTTTTAAAAATGGTAGATCTCAAATAATAAAAAAAAAACCACACCAAACCACAAAACAACAACAAAAAACACAACCAAAACAACAACTTGAAAGCAATTGCGTCATGAAATGCTGTGGAAAATTGGGGTCGTATTTCAGAGGGTTTTGCTTTAAGAATTTTTCTGCTGCACAGCTCAATTCTCTAATAATCAGACATACCACTTTTCATCACTGACACTCAGAACAATGCAAACCGGAAGCAATCTCTACAAGCAATCTGACCCGAACCTCTACTCAAAAGAGAGCCAACTTGAATTGGGTTGCCCAGGGCTTTGAAAAGTCAAGTTCTGAGCATCTCAGAGCACAGACTGAAGGATCTCTTTTGGCAACCCGTTCCAATGCTCAACTCCCTTTGTATTGACAACTGGCCTAATTCAGCGGAGGAATTCCCAGTGAAGTAACTGGTGTCCATTGACTCTAATCCTACCACTCTGCACCTCCAAGAAGGGTCCGGCTGCATCTCCTCCATACCCTTCCACCAGGTATCTTGAATGCACCAGGAAGAGCTCCCCATTCCTACCTTCTCCAAGCCAGAACAAAAGCAGTTCTGTCATCTGGGCAACCCACTTATCCAAATGAAAATTTGATCTTTCAGCAAACATCAATTTTAAGAGATTATTTGAACGTTCATAGGTTAGCAATAAAGATAGAATAGTTTCACAGCTTTCAGGCAAGCGCACTGCATCATGAACAGAGATATAACAGCAACTATCATTTCAATATGCTATTAACTGTAAAAGTCTTAAGATACGCAATTACTACACCATCTAGTAAGTTTGCCCCTATTACATTCGGGTATATGATTTTCATTTTCCACCTCATTACACTTAAACAGTAACTTACATCCACAATTGCTATTTCTCCTTCTCCATACTCTTTCGCTACTGGAAACTTAACAATGAAAGTAGCAAATAAAACAGTAGACAACAATTTTGATTTATCTATATAGCACAATGCAGTGGCATGTAAAGCAACCAATGTAGCTAGGATGCTAGGACTTCTATTTAACCATGCAAGCAGGCTTCTCTGTGAGACTAATTAGACCAGCTAGAACATTACAGTAGACCGACTTACGACTTTTTGTTCCTGGGGTAGAAATAGCTCTGAGAGGGTTATAATTTATAACAGCTGGGGGATCGCTAGCTTCTGGTACCTCTGCTCAAGAAAACTGGAAGGCTAAGAATCAGAGGCAGGCAAAGTATCTGTGCTTTTCAAAGACAACTGCTCACAGCTCCTAGCTCTTGCTATGCATCTCTCAGATGTCCACCAGTTCTGATGTGTGCGAGCCAAAATTTTTGGGAAGTATGCTTCCAAAAGCATGGGAGTCGGGAACAAGTAACTCCTGCCTCCTACAGAAGCAGATACAATGATTGGCAGCATCCTGCTACTAGAAGAGTCAGGGCTTCTCTTCCCACTAAGTTCAGAGAGCAAAATGAGTTCAAATGAGTTCAGGACCCTCACTTGCAGGGGAGCTAGATTTTACGCAAACAGTCGTCAACATGTTCAGCCTCCGATTTGAGGAGGCTGAACCACACACCCAGCATTCAAAATGACCTGCACAGACTGTGGGTCTGTCTTGCCACTTCTGATGTGTTGGGTTGTCTGCACTTACAGCTGGCTACCAAGTGGCTATGTGCATGCACACTACTCTGGTTAAATTCAACCAGTTTCTAGACCTGCAAAAAAAGAACCAAAATTATTCTTCACTAATACATATTTCCGTTTATATAAAAACAAACGCCACCCACAGACAAAGCTGATGGTATTAAGTTATCATGTTAATGTGATCTTTAAGACTTTCCAGTACTACTGAGCCACCAACCAATATTCTGTACATCAGCTCTAAGGACATCAGTCTAGACTTTAGCCTAAGCTATACCTATATAACTTGGTATTAACTGTCCTGTATGACTGGCAGCATACTGTACTTAAACACTTAACAACAGAGTCAATCCTGTCATTTCTCAGAATGAAAGGCTATTTCACTCTTCAGAAGAACTTTCTTAAAGCCCTCAGTCATTAACCAGAATTTTCTTCTTGATTCCCACAAACAACTGAGACTTGATCTCCCACACTGTGTGACTGAACCTATGTCGTGCCACTCATGACTCGAACCTGAGAGACAGGAATGAACATCATTTCTTTACCTGCTTTGACCTAGCTAAAAACAGGCAAAACCCAGGTCAAACAGGCCACAAAGGTAGGAAGGGCCAAAGTAACTCAACGGAGAGTAACCTGCTCTATCAACCTAACCCAGCCATCAGCCCTGCTCGAACACGAGGAGGTGGCAAGTTTCTCCACAGGTTCACTCTTCTGAAACCAGGAAGAAAGATTCTTGAACTGTTTAGATCAGAGGCGAAATTACTTTAGCAACAGCACTTTTTCGCATTATCATTTCCAATTAGAAATACTCTTCAAGACACATTAAATTGCTAAGAAGCTCACAGTTTGATGTAACCTGAATTGATCTTTTCTACCAGCTTTGAATTGTAATATTATGCAGAGTAAGTACATAAAATTACTTACAAGCCTGTCTATGTCATGTCAGTTAAATAACTTTTTATCAGCAAAGCTTGTGGTGGTAAAAATAACATCCTAAGTGAATATCTAAACCACATCAAAATAAAAGCTGATTTCTAAGAAAGGGAGCTTTACTTTTGAGGGGGAAAAAACCCAACAATCAAATGCTATTCAGAAATGCTTAAAAGTGTTCATCATTTATTAACTGAATTCTGAAGCCAAAATCATATACATCAAAATCCTATTTTCAATGTATTTTTATTTAAAGCCAATGAGTAGCAAAAGCACAATTTTACAACACAAAAGAATGATGATGAAGAATTCTGCTCTATATTCCTTGTCTAAAATTCTAGTTTCATTTTTTAGATAAGAGTTTGAAAGCAAGTCAAGAGATCAATCTTAGGTTTTGGGAGGGTCGTGAGGTTTTTTTCCCTTGATTCTCCCGTTATCTTTAATTCCCTTTTCACTAAAATTTAATTCTTCTATTGTTACTCTTTTGATAAGATTGCCATCTGGTGGCGTTTGCTATTTAAAAAAATTGAGCTATTGAGAAGGAATTTCCTAATTTAAATTAATATCTACTGCTACTGTAGTAACAAGAGTCTACTGTTAATGAACACATTAACTAACGGTTATTCTTCACATGTGTGGTCTACTCCTTGTGCAAATGCTTTGCACAGAAGGTCAGATTATACTCTCCAAGAGGGATCCCCCTCATGTAATTTCCAGGAAATGCAACAGGAGTCATCAACTACTCCTGATCTCTTCACCATCACTTGAAGACAGATGTTAGAATTGTATTATAACAAAACTACAAAGGAATCCTACTCATCTTGAAGACTCCACCAGAAGATTGCTTCTTTTAACCAGAAGATTGAGTCCAAACTTGTAGTGTTCCAGCACATTGATCTAACAGATTAATAATGCTCCAAGGTTTAACACAGCTCACATGACCTAACTTGGTTACTTTTACTGAACAGTGAGATGCTGGTAATGCAGGATTATAATAAATGCATGGTTTTGCACTACTTAAAAACAAGAGAAAGCAAAATCAAAAGCATTTGAATGTCGTTAAGTATCCCAACACCACACTCAAAAAGAGAATTAAAATGCAAAGAAAAATCAAAAGTTTTGAGTATCGCAGGCTATGTTTCTTGTTTTCACCCCAAAAAAAAAATCACACAAATACTTCAAAAAGACATTTAAAACTGAATTTCACACCTATAAATTAATTATATTGTACAATAATACTTTGTGTTATTGTATTTCTTCTGTCACATAACTTGCAAAGCTAGGGAAAAGTACATTAAATACTGTTCCCTCAAAAACTTAACCTGCAGTATTTTTATACAATCTTACCTTTCAATGGCCAGTTCTTTGTTTGAGAGTTGCTGAACTGTAATCACCACTTTCTTCTCAATTCCCTGTTTAAGCTTGAAGTATAATTTCTCTCTATCCTTTGGCACAGGGCTAAACGAATGAAGAAACAAGTTTCTTTAGCACATGTATAGAACATTAACTGTTAAATACAGAAAAGAGAGTAGCAGCCCACTTAAACTGTTAACGGCTCAACCCATTTGAGAGACCTTCTCTTCCTTTATTCACAAGTTAATAAACCAGCACTGAAGAAAAACAGACTATAGCCTCACACTTAGTATGCTAATTGTCTGGGGGATTTACCAGAGAAATGTATCCAAGAATACATGGGGTATTTGGGGTTTTAAAGTGATAGAAAACATGCTATATACTGGCTACGAAGCAAAAAATAAATAGGACGTTTTCACAGAATTAACTCTTATTATCAACTCCCTCTTCCATTCCAAAAAATGCTGTAATTAATTGCTAGGCAAAGAATACTTTGCTCTCCTGTCCCCTTATGAAAAGAAGCCAAATCAATTTTACTGCAACGTAATAGTTGTGCATTCTGCAAGCAGCTATATGGTTTTTTCAAAGAGATTTCTACTTTTCCCTTTCCATTCAGATTACCTAAAGTTTCCTTTTCCATCATCTTCTTTGACTTCTAAGGAAACACTGAAAGTGTACACATCACTATCTGGAGTAGGAAGAACAAAGTCCTTAACATGATCAGATGCTTGTTTGGAAGAACGTTTGAATGCTGTTGAGAAACTATATAAAATTCGGCTGACCTGCAAAAAAGCAGAAGAATTAATAGTTTTATCGAAAATAAAAGAGTATTTTTTATGGGGTATTGTGATGTGTTTTAGAAGAGCATAAAATTAGTGTCACTTGCCTCTTATACTGAACACAAAGCATGCCTCCTATAAACACCTGATCTGAATGTTTTGTGTTAACAACCAAGCAAATTCAATAACAACATCTCCTATTTCCATTCGTGTCACATTCACTGTTCTTGTAGCACTCAGTAAGTTAATATATATTACAAGATTAGGAATGCAACTCATTAGAAGACCTGAATAATGTACTTTTCAGGTTGTGTATTTAACAACCCAACTTACAGTTTGCTCTTGCAGATATCAAAAAGCAAGGAGATTTCTTCTTTTTCAACCTCTTATTTTTCCATCCTAGAAAATCCTTTTCTCCCAAACTACCAGGTAGTTCTTCCTAAAATATCTAGCGCAGAGTACTGTAAAATGATTCTTTGTAACTCACAAGGTCTACACTGCAACTTTAGTCTGAAACCTACCCAAATGAGGCCTGAAAAACAGAGTATTTGTCTTAAACTTAGGCTTTCTAAATCTTCCCATTACAGTGCACTTTGGAATAGTATTGAAATACTAAAAGAAAAAGAAAAAAATTAAATAGTATTAATAGTCATGTATGACTAGCTGCACGTTCTGTGAAACTCATTATATATTATACGTTAACATATTTTTCAAGGCACTATATATACCATTTCCACATCTAGAACAACTTCTTAAAATACCGCTTGCATCCTTTTTACCAGCCACTGTACAACATCTAATACTTACTGCCTCTTTAATCTCACAGGAGAAAACATGAATCTGGAACTCTTCTGTTCCACAGCTGCTTTCAGTAAACGCAAAACAGTCGCTCTCTGAAGTCCCATTTTGTCCACGCACACAAAACAACACCTTATAGATTGGAAAAGAGGCTATCTCCACATTGCTTGCTTGATCTATTATTCTGTCAAGGAAAAGAACCGGGAAGATCAAAGAAAAAGGTCAGTAAAGAAAACAGGCCTACCTGAAAGGCTTTTCCACAATTAAGATAAATAAGTATCTAAACTGTAATTACTACTAAATTCAAGTACACAAGATAGGCAGTAGGAACAGAAATGTCAGGCTTTCCAAATTTAAGATGTAAATGTTTCCAGTTGTAACATTGGCTTACTTTCTTTTATACTCCATAATATAGACAAATATAGCACCTCCATATCATGCAATAATGACCATCATTGCTCTGCAATCGCTCGTGAAAAACACACGAGTAGAAACGTAGAAACCACAGCGACCGTGAAAATGCTATTTGCATACAAAGATCAAAGAAAATTCAACATTATAAAAGAATTTAAATATCTGTTTAAGAACAAAAGCATTATTTATTCAGAATCTACAGGACTACAAGCAAATGCTTGCTGCCATGTTCAGGTGAATATTAATCACAGATCTAAGGGCTCATCAAAATTTTAAATTCTTCTCAAACTCAGAACCCAAAGAACATTTCAGAAACTTCAAAGACGACAACAGGGGTGGTGGTCTCAGAACGGACTACTAGACAGTGACTTTTAAAGAATAATAGTTAGAGCTACACAGTTCTCCATCTTTTCGCTAATTCTGCATATGCACATTCACATCAAGGGTGAATAAACGTTAGTTACCTGGAATAGAATCATAAGTCTGTAACAGTAAAAATAAAGGACTAATCTTCTAAAGGCAAGAAAAGCCCAGAGACGATTCAGCATACTGTAATATTGGTGAGACATATTAAATGGAACCACACATGACAAGTATTCAGATATCAGGAGTGAAAACACTCCTCACAGGTGACACTCGTGTCACTTGAACTTTGATGGAGTCTATTATGTCACACAATGATTCGCCTTTACAGTTCTGCGCAGATTCTTAGGCAGTCCTTTTCTTAATGATGTCTTCTGCAACTAAAGATCAAAGGAACCTGCAGTTTCACTTGCAAAACAGCCTTCCTGAATGGCCACCATGGCTACGAAAATAGGTACAGCACACCTAACATCTCGCATCTATGTGACAGTTTCCATCATAAAAGTATGCAGTGTAATTCCCCCATTCAAATGAAATACTGCTGTATTGTCAAACGAAATTTTAAACTGAGTTAAAAGAGCAAAATGGAAGAAAATAATACATGTGCTTGAAGGTCCTTCTGTCTTTCTGCGCAAGGTCATAGTCAATACATAGGCAGAGCACAGGAAAGGAAGGAAATCTAACCACATCCTTCAGATATCTTGTTAAAATAAAAATAAAAATCTTGAATATTGAGACGCTCCCTACTTCTGGATGCAAGACTGCTACAGGTGTGCCTTTAGCGCACCCTGATTAAGAATCCTTGACTCTTCCATCACCAATTAAAAGATCCTTCTCACATGGGGCAAGTAAATGTCTTCTAGTATCTAGAGACTATCAGCATATGCATCATGAGGCAGACACAGGTGAGACCTGCCTTTAGCACAGCAATGTCTGGAAATACAGACTAGCATCTCAAGGCCTCAACATATATGGAAGAGTCTAAAACAGGAAGTTTTCCAGCTAACCCAAGGCCCGCAGAACTACTACTGACTCAATATATTTACCTCCGAGGTGATTACGGACTAGGGAGGTTGGGAGAAAAGAGATCCCTTTCCAGTATATCACTTATTATCACATTTGAACAGAGATGGAGGTAGAAAGATATGCTTTTCTTGACACTATGGCAACCGCTACCACCAACTACGCACTGCGTGATAAATTTGAGCACGCACTTTGTAGCATCACAGGAATTTCTCAAAAAATAACTGTCTTCAGCAAGAACTTTAGGCACAAATCCAGCAATTCTACTTCCCCATGCGAGTAACAAAGTCAGAATTCACCTTTTATGTGTCTGTGCAAGTAACAACAGAAACATTTGTATGTTACCTTACAGAGCCTTCTGGAATGTTGGGAACATAAAGCGTTACAGGTGAAGGGGCCTGACTGGACAATTTCATGTTTGCCATGGCCTGCAGAGCTTCCAGTTCATTTCGAGGGGCAGACACCTTTGTGCAACCTAAATAAGTCAATTTGTTGAACAACACGCTGTCCTCTTCCAGGGGTTCACTGGGAGAAGATGGCCTTGGTGCAGAGATTTCTGAAAATGAAGAAACCACTTCTTCAACCATTTGCTTTTATTTTTACACATTGTTTTCTGAAGGAGTTCCATAGCAAAATCTCCCACTTTTTCTGGAAATGGATATGGGAGTCAAAAGCCCAGCTCCAACAGTAAGAAATCCACTTGGCAGCTTAATATTAAGTCTAGTCTATTCTAATGCATGTTTCCAAGTGGCATAGGGACAAATTGCCTGTTGATTCTTTTTAGCAGTGCTAGAACACAATTTTTCTTTAAGCTCCATTCCCCAGATGTTCTTTTCTTTAGTTTGCTTATACCTCCCCTTCTAATTCCTACTCATCATTTTTGCATAAAGACGCCTCTAATTCTCCTCTCTCCCAAATCTTTGCAGCTTGCGTAGAATTATTAAATGTGGTTCACATTCCTGGGATATTAACTGCATGAAACCATCAGGGAGCTAGAGAAAAGAAAAAGGATATCTGTTTGTTCCTCTACTCGGCAGAAGAGAGGCATTCTTTTTCCACTATCACACTACTATGGACAGCGGCAATCTTGAGGGAGCTCTCGGGAGTTTTGTTGTTATTGCTGTTTTCTGGTGGGGGGCGTTTAAGGCATTTTGAAATTTGTGAAACAAAAGGTGGAAGAAAAATTCGTTAAGTATGGAATCAGAATAATCTAGGTTGGAAAAGACCTCTAGAGGTCATCTAGCTTTAACTCCTGCTCAAAGACAGATCAGGCTGAATTAGGGCTAGCTTCAAAACTGCATCAGGTTACACTCAGGGCTCTGTCCAGCTGAGCTTTGCCATCTCCAAAGTCAGACATTCCAAATATCTCTAAGCAACCTGCCCTGTTATTTCTATTTCTTATTACCATAGCTAATATTTTCATAATACTTAAATCATAAAGGTTGCAAAATTGAATTATTCCTACTAGGGGGAGGGGAGCTGGGGAATGTATCTACAATTATTTCTTTGTTCATTCATGCTAAGGGTTAAGTTCTGTTTGAAGCATGTCAAACGAGGAGCCAGTAAGGTAAGTTTCTCAAAAATACTGCATGCATGTAATTAAGAGTGTTTCCATTAGGCATAAACTGTCTATCTTATTCTACCACCAAAAAAAAATTTTTTTTTTAACTTCCGAAACAGATGCTATGGAAATTATCTGACACAATGCCACAGAAGTGCTCTGCATACTACTGGAGGAAAAAGAATTCTAATCCAAGGCCCAGAGAGATGGCCAGAGTCTTGTATTCCTAACATAGATATTAAAAAAAAAAAGCTACAATATTTTTTAACATTAATGTATACAATATAGTTTACATAGAAAGCTTTCAGTCCTCCCTTCTACTCCGAAACTTCCAATACCAGGAAAGTACCACAATCATTCCTAGCAAATACCAAATCTAAAGCTGTCCTTACTGATACCTGGTGATAGAACCAGAGCTGAAAAGTTTATCAGTTTGCTCAGGGTATACTGCATTTGCAGTTAATACTGCCAATGAACACTGCCCTGAAATTGCTCATACTCCCTCAGGAGCATCTCTATCTCAACTATAGTCTGCTCAGCAAGTTACTTAGTCCTAACTCATCCAGGGTTGGAGACAAAATGAAAATGATCTTGACCAAAACAGAGCAGCAGAGGGTATCAATCTGATGATAACCTATTCCTGTCTATAATCCTCAACCAATCAGAAAAGGAGAGGAGGCCCCAGGGTATTCTCCAGTACAGTTTTGGAATGAAGCTCCAGAAAGCCTTATATTCATTTTAAGCCCAACGTGAAACTGCAGAAAGAAAACAACCTGCCATATATGATTGAGGGAGGAAGCACTTTAGCAGTACCTGTAGTAGAAGGGTCTAAAACAAGGTGCAATGATGGCTGATGCGTTTGACCCGCTGACCCATCTCCAGCTGCCTGGCTGCTTGCATCACTGGAACCTTCTGGGAGAGCAGTGCAATTGTTCTGGTCTTTTTCAGAATCCCTCAGTATCTCTTCCATTGCCTTCTCCAGCTGATCATCTCCATTTGAAAAGACCTGTAAGCAGAAGGAGATGACATTTTTTTAAAGGTACTTGTAGTTTCACTTTCACTATTATTTTTCAAACATACAGTCTTACTCACTGCAAAAGTAAAGAAACTTTGCTGAACAAGACAACACACTAAGAATCAACAAAATTAAATCAAACATAACCCAATGTCCCATCCCATTACATACAATGCACATGTTCTCACTGCTAATCCAACCACCATCCATCTAAAAACTACAGAGCTCTCTTAAAATATAGGTTTGCATGTTTAGCTCCTCCATTCAGAGCAAAGATCACCAGACTTTATTACAGATTAAAGAAAATTTTATTTTCTTAGTCATAGCCAATCCATTTCAGTTGTTTCACCAGTTGTCCCACACACAGGAGGGGTGCAAGTCTAAGGAAATGACAAGAAAATGGTGAGATACATTCCCTGGGGGG